CTCACTTGTCTACTGTGAAAAATTTGGGAGGCACTTGGAGGAAGGTGCTGGTATTTGCACAGAAATTGATATCACATTTATCAAAGAGTCCTGATCTAGTGAGCGGAAATGAGTGAGTGGATGTGGGAACAGCAAATGTCTCAGTGATAACTGGAGTGATCTGAAGCTATGCAGGTGCCTGGATTATGTAATGGGCTAGAATGATGAAGGTCAATAAACTACTCTCCAAACCTTGCAATCAAACACCACCTCAGTGTTTCATATATCAGAGGTGTACTAGGCTGCCTCATTGGCGATTTGAGTGTATGTCCCAAGCAATTGTTATAAGGGAAAGCAGACTATCTCTATCAGGATTGCTGGGGGAGGGAGTGGAGAAAGAACTCACTTTCACTGTCTAAGGACGTTATCACATGTGGGCCAGAAAGCGATAATAAAGTGGAAATGAGGCATTCCGAAAATAAACGGAAAATAAACCTTGATTCCGCAAATGGCTTTCACACGTAATTACCATAATTGCGAAATTACAGTAAGCGCATTTAACGTTCACACACAAGCGAGAAAAGCCCGTAAATGTACTAGAAATGAGCTTCTTGCACATGCGCAGATAGAGGAATGCTCGCTGGAACCATGGGAACAGCAGGGAAATGCTCCCAAATGTGTATTTGCTTTTCACATTACGATAAATGTGAAATTACCTTAATTTCAAAAGATCTCCGTTAACACCAGTTTGTCCACTTTCTGTCCAGTTTCTGTGCGACGTCGTGTGAAAACACGGGGCACTAATCCAATTTCTGTTTGGGTTTTGTGTGGATTAACCAGCAGATTTGCCCCCATGTGATAACGTCCTAAGACACGTGAAGCCATTTTCCCTGGCATGTGGAGGGCAAGGAGGAAGAGGAAGATGCACATGCCTGCATTATTAACTTCATTTGCAGACACAATAATTAAGCACTGAGGTTGAAGCAAGGAATTAAAAACACTTATGCTAGTGAAATGTCCTGATTAAAGACAGAAATTAGATATTCCTAAAAACCAAACCACCACAAAGCTGTCCTTGGACACTTTGTAGATAGGCAACCCCAGGCAGCTCCTCCTGTAGATACACATACACACAAGCACCAAGGTCTTGATCCCTTCTCATCTGCCAGAAAAGCGAGAAACTCTTTATGATTCAAACAGGCACTTCTATTCACAGAACACAGTCTCAGCAAATTCTTCCAAATTCCTTCATCCTCTCTGCAATTGCTTATGCTCTTTTATTTTAGAGAACTCTCAAGAAAGGAGAAACCAGGAAAATTCCCCAGAATCCCTTCTTCTCTGGATTCAATGCATTAGTTTGGGGAGGGTAAAAGACTACAATGCTTGGCAAGGTGAAAGGCAGTAGGAAAAGAGGAAGACTGCATTGCAGATGGATAGACCAAGGCAAGAAAGCCACAGCCCTGAAATTTGCAGACCTGAGCAGGGCTGTTGTTGACAGACTTGGAGGTCTCTTATTCAGAAGATTGCCATAAGGTGAAGTCAGGTTGATGGCAGTTAACAACAACAAACAGAAAATTTCTATTTATAAGAAACAGAGTCCTGTGAAGGAAGCATGACCCATTTCAATATTCCTTTCTCAAAAGCTTGCTTTGGCAGATGTGTGATTTTAAAATACTTTTACAATATTTTAAAGTGTTGTAATAATAATAATAATAATAATAATAATTTTTATTTAATACCCCGCCCCTCTGAGCACAATCGGGGCGGCTTACATCATAAAATTTCCGACAGCAATTAAGAACAAGTACCTCCCCCTCCCCCCCCTTAAAAAATTATTAAATCCAATACAGATTAAAAACACAATATAAGGAGGTATATTGTAGCATTAGCAAGTATATTTCTCTACTGCTTATCAGTGAACTAGTACTCCCTAAGCAGTTTACAATGTGTAAGCCAATTGCTCCCAACAAGCTGAGTACTCATTTTACCAACCTACGAAAGGATGGAAGGCCGAGACAACCTTGGAGCCCTGCCTGGGATCAAACTTACAACTTTGTGGCTGCAGTACTAGCATTTAACCACTGCAACACCGGGGCTCCTGTAAAGCAGGTGGAGATCCTATGGTCCCTGCATATGTTTTGGACTGTACCTGCCATCATCCTGGACACATGGTCGTGCTTCTGGGAATATAGTAACATTTGCATGGCCAGAGGTTTCTAATTCTCAGTAGAAAGACTTCACAGGTGAGAAAAAGAAAAGAAAGGGGCATTTAAGAATTAATATTATATTTTTAATTTAGATCTTCCTGAATATATCATTAAGTGCCAAGTCTCTCACACTTTTGAAAACAATGTTTTTATAGTGGAAGGCATAAACATGTTAACACATCTAAACACATTAGTTAGTTGTCTATCGATGGACAAATTGGGTCTTGTGATTCCATTATGCAGTACATTTCTATGCAACCAATTCTAAAATTGCCTTCCATTGCACTCAAATTTGTTTCAGAATCTCATGAGTCAACCTGTTAACAAATAAAGGGCCTTTACAGACTGCAGAAATAGTGCAACTTGAAGCCACTTTAACTGTCCTGGCTCAGTGCTAAGGAATCATGGGAATTGTATTTTTTCTGGGACACTGAGCCTTCTATGTCAGAGAGCTTTGGTGCCACAATAAACTAGTTCCCATGATTCCTTAGCCCTGAACCAGGAAAGTTAAAGTGGCTTCAAGTTGCACTATTTCTGGCAGTCTGTAAAGGCCCCAAGTTTCTGAGTAAATGAATAAGAGGTTATATCATTGTACACTGAAAATCTTAATCTTAGCACTGCAAGGTAGTTTTGGTTCAAATTCAAACACAACCTGTAATTACAGCAGTGACTCTTTGTACCATCCAAATCAATCCTTGCTAAGCCCCTCTACTTCCAGGAAATCGATGTGTACTGTATCACAATGTGATGTAGGCTATACCAGTTTGGGGAACCAGTAACCCTCTACAACATGTTGGACTGAAGTTTCCATAATGCTTGACCCCCAGATATGCTTACTAAGAGTCTATCACCTGGAGGGTGAGAGATTCTACAATGCAGGGCAGTATCTTACTATCTTGATTATGAAGTGTGAGGGGCTGCCACAGGATATAGTTATATCTTGCAACAGCACAGCTGAGTCTTCTAATTATCTTATTCCAAGTCAACATTTCATATTCAGTGATGACATAGCATTCAAGAATGTTGGCCAAAGGTATAGAGTATTTTCAAGCTTAGCCATTAAAAAAAAAATCTCACACAGGATTTTTGTGAAGTCTTTATTAAGCAGCAAGTAACGAAATTTTGTCAAGCAGTTTCTCTCAGCTTAACATGCATTATTACTTTCTTGACAGCCAATGTAGGATCTGCTTCTCTTCATCTGCCCTTCCCACATGGTACTCAGCTTTGTGCTATTTGTTCAAAGTGTTAAAAAAAAAAAAGGCATATTTCTGGAGGAAAACATCTTGGGGAGGCAATTTAAAATGTCACTTCAAATATTAGTATCTATAAAAAAAATCTAGGATATATGTACATTATTACCAGAGAGGCATAGAAGCACAGTGCAAGTTAAGACTTAAGAGTTGCAATCTGGAGGATAAGCCTGCCCCGAGCTATAGAACATGGGCCACCATTAGCTTTGGGGCTGTTAAGCCTTAAGCCTCAGGCTCCATGTGTTTATTTCCTCCCTAATTTGTCTCTCCTCTATAGCTACACATAAATGCTGGAGAGTTTTAACATAGGGTTGCTGAAATACTGGCCAAAGGTGCATTTGGCAACTGAACCACAACAAAGAAGGTTTATATACGTCAGTGCATTTTGTTTTGGACAGTGTTGGGAGTATCCACCTCACATTTTGGAATATTCGAGCTGCCCTAGAGAACAGATGAGCAGACAAGAAGCCAGCTTCAGTAGCTAAGGTATATACATACAAAAGTTATCTTTTCATCAAATAATAAAATAAGTGCACACTTTTTCTCTATGGTGGATATACTTTGAAATTCACACCAGTGTAGAGTCAATTGGGGGGAATTCAGTCTTCAGATAAATACACACATAACATTACATGAATTCCTTCTTCTAAGAAAAATCCCCCCCCCCAAAAAAAGTTGTGCTAATGATCTCATGTTTTATACTCTGGTCCTGAGGCAACTAATATGTAAACAGAGGAGAGGGCAATGCTGCATAGTCATGAAAATAATTTGTTACCAAGCTTCTCAAGCTGTGAATAAAACAGTTCATTGTATAAAGTGATGCTTGGGGCATGAAGGAAGACAGC